GTGTTTTAAGGAAAATAATACATACAAACAACATATTACATTATACATTGTGTTCATTTCTTGAATATCATGTACATTTGCTAGAATTTCACGGGACTCTACCTCCATCAGTCCAAAAATGATGAAGGTCTTTATAATGACATCCACATAATGTAAGCCGATGTAGTCCTCTTGTTTTGGTTACCGTACTTCCAATACATGCATATTACTCAAGCTACAGTATACATTGTAATTACAATTCAGGGAGAATATGATTGGGAACCAATTTATTCCAGAGTTGTAAAACAAGGCCACAAGTTCCATCACGTCTGCTAATAGAAAGGCGTAGATGTACATAAATTTGTGCACAAAATTGCCAATTATGATCGCATGAACAGATTTATGTTGGTGCCGTAAAGCCAGAAATTATATGCAACAACAAGTTATGTTTCTGATTACAAAATTAAAAAAAGAAGATGTAAAAAAAAACAATTTGGATTCTAAGCTGACAAAGTTTTATTTCTAATTAACAAAATTTACTAAAAATTATATTACACATGTACATGAAGGCTTTGCATGTGAGCTGTACAGGTGTATACATTACATAGAGATTATGTAGGCAAAATACATCGGGATTTCCTCCATAATATAATTGAAAGATTTTTCCAATTTCCATAGTCACTTTGTTTCACTCTCTCACTCTCTTGCTATCTACATGTACATGTATGATGACCTGTCCCCCATTCCTCTTCCCTCCCCCATCCCTCTCTCTCCTCTCCTCCCCCTCTCTCCTCCTTTATTCCTCCTTCCCTCCTCCCCTCCCCATCCCTCTCTCCTTCCCTATCCCTCTCTGTCCTCTCCCTCTCCTTTCTCTCTTTCCCTCTCTCTCTCTCTTTCTACTCTCTTTCTTTCTGCTCTCTCTCCCTCCATCCCTCTCATTATGATTATGATCAGTAGTTCTTTGTTACTTCAGACGCTCTCTGTGCTAATTTTGTGATGAGTCATGTATTATTACAAGCCGTGTCTTTTAATTAATTATTAAAAGCGTGGTCTGTTAGGCCTAATTGAGGGAAGCAAATTTTACCGCAAGCTTTTTTTCGCCTCTACATTAATGGGTTCAGAAATTCTGTTGATCCTGTGTGAATCATTAATTTATTGTGGGTTACAAACCTCTTACATATGAACACTGAATTTGATGAAGCTTAAATACATCATCAGATTATCAATTAGTGGTGAGGGTTTGTGGTAGAGTTTAATTATTAATCTTTTTATGATACAACCTCTAAATCCATTTTTCACCACAAGCAAAGCTTTTAATTAAATGCTGCTGCATTTATCACATAAAGTACTCACATTACGAGATAGAGTTTGGTTTTTGGTGGTAAAGATATAATTAAAAAGGCAGTTATTACTTGTTGTTCTTCTGATCTGAATATTTGTTGTACTAATGAGGCCTACTTACTACTTTAATCTTTGATCAGTGTAGTTTAGTTAAATTAGATTACATTTACCACTTATATTGAGATGAAGATAAGATACTATAATAAATGAGTATGTAAATATTTTAATAAGATATTTTGTTACAGAGAATAACAGTTATCTCAAGTGCAATGATGGAATTAAGATAATCATCTTTAGTTATACAGTTATACAGTGTGTGCGGGCAAGCACTGAATCCAATGACCGGGGTAATAGTATATTTGTAAAGCGCTTAGAGACATTTGTAATAAGCGCTATATAAAAATTAAATATTATTATTATTATTATTACTATGTTTTTCTTTTGTTTGTTTGTTTGTTTGATTTGTTTGATTTTTTATATATATATATTTTTTGGGGGGTAAAGGGAGGAAAAGCTTGTTATGGGATAATTATAGCATATATCAATTTGGGGTTTTGAGTTAAATAAAGACCATGCCATGTGTTGATTATTGCATGACATGCATGGAGGCCTTTGTTTATATTTTGTTCTTTTTGCTATGTTTCTTTGCATAATAAAACTCATTTGATATACTCAACACTATTGGGAGAAAAAAAAATCATCATGTTATATTAAAACAATGCACTTTAGTATGACTTTAGGCCCTGCTGTCTGATCAAAAAGTGTACTATTCCATTATTTCTACCATTGTTGGTAACGTTATACATCTGTTTGTATTTTTCTTTTTTTTTCAAACATCCAACCTCAAGTTTTGTTGCAATAAAGAAATAATAATAATAGTGATACTTGTTTGATTAAATTGTCCATATGCCAAGAAAACCCAGCTCCATCTATACTTAAGTGCAGATAGGTAGGTGAGAGTGCATAGCGATGTACATGTACATGTACAGTACATGTATGCAGCACGCATGCACGTTGAACTGTTGCTTAGATTAGCTGATATGTGCAGGGATATGCAGGGATAGCAACAAAGGGAATTTCCATAGATTTATGATAATGTGCCTCTCATATTGAGACTAGTCTTCTTCACAGCCCCTTTTACGATGGTCTGTCGTTGACTTGTTGTGTTTGGGATGGGATAGCTTATGATTACCTTCTACATTTTATGATATACAGTAGTTGAAACTACTGTTATTAAATTGGAGCTAATCTTTATGGCTCTTGTGTGCTATTGTTGAAATAGTCTTGGAGAATAGGATGGGGAATATTAATTTGGTTTTAAAATCTGCTGTTAAAGTTGAAGTAAAGGCCAAACATGCGTGTAGCTTGACATTAATTCATTTGAATAACAAACTATAGCATGCATGTAATACATCAATAACTTTAATATTCAGTTTCATTTTAATTAGGGCCTCTTTAAAGCTATGATAAAAGCAATTGTTTAATCACATCGATGCTAATTTACATTACAATTATTTAAAAGAATGTACATGTATTTAGTAGCCTAGTATTTAGATAGGAATGACATATAATACACATGTACATGTACATCAATGTAGATTCTTTTTTAAGGGACTGGAGGGGGTCATTGAAATGCAAAAAACTGGCAAGTCGATGATATACATATGTGTCTGTAGGCCTATGATCTAATGCATGATGAACATTTAATAATTTGGTAAATTTAATATGTTACATGTTGGACTCTTTGGCCTGCCTGTACATGCATCCACTTCTAGGCCTACAAATATATAAAAACCAACAAATATTTTGCTGATAGGGTCTGATTATGAAGACTATCGATGTAAACACAGAGCTATACCCTAGTCATCTCATCTGTAAACCGCAATAGCAGTCATGTAAGCCCAAGTGCAACGTTTGTCTAGGGGAAAACTGTATACACTCTGGTAGACCAGCTGACACTGCCATGCCAACACTGCAAATCAGTAGTCTCCTAATTTCATACATTTTCACAAAAACTGATGTAGTGTTTGCAACCCTAGGATTCTCCTGTAATGTAAATATAAATTGAATGTTATTAAATGTTAAAACTTACTACTGATTGACCACCTCTAATCACAATTAACCTTGAAGTTACAAACCACCTCCCTATCTATGAGAACAGAGTCTGAATATATAGTCTACTTGGTCTGTCTACTGACTAATAGCTAATAATGTGTGTCTGTATATCTCAAGTAAGGCAGTTGGCAAATGAAGCGAAGCATGCTGGAAGGTATCATATCTCTATTGAAAAGCCTATCCTAGTGTACTGATCCATAAAATGATTCCATAATGAGTTGCAATATTTATCTCATGTTTTAACAGTCCCCCCCCCCCCCCTTTTATTCAATCGGAGGATCTAACCTCTCTGATCTACATACAGATAGAGCTACTGTGTGTGGTAATTGATCGACGACTACATACCCCGGTAGCCTTCCAAATGTCAGGATAATCTACACCTGTAATGTCTTGTCTTCAGGGATTGTTCAAAGCGTCAACTCAAAAGTTCCCAAGTAACCACCGCCCGCCCGCCTGCCCCCCTCCCTTCTATCGAAAGGTGACAAGTTTGTCCTCAATTCTTCCAGGGTTCATCAGTCTTCAGTGACTTGCTATGAAACTTGAAAGCATATGTTGTCTTGGGGTAAAAAAAGAGGGAAAAGTAGTAGATGTAGGAAAAAGAAAAATAGTATCCTTGCTTCGTTGAAATAAATAGTATTCCAGAAAATGTCTCGTTCTTGATAGTACAATGTTATGGTAATAAAAGGCATGACTGCATTGCAAACGTCTTATTGCAAGATGAAACAGTATGAGATGTGTTTTTAAGAGAAACATGCAGTATATATGATCACGTACATGTATATGTTTACATGAAGTCCAAAGACTGAACAGTGTTGTATGCTTTCTCATGACATGAGCATGTTGTTTGCAATCTTCTGCTGTATGTAGGTGTACATGGCTAAATTTTCATGTCATTGGCAGTCTGTTGGAGCATTTATAGTAATTTTAGCATTGTTGCCCTTTGATGTGGCGATGTCCCGTTTTGATTTGCTCCAAAATGAATCGAGGATCGAGTTGCACCCACGAATGCCAAGCATTTCCATGGAGGGGGACGGTGTAACAGACAAGCAAAAGAGAGAGAGAGAGACACACACACACACACACACGCACACATACACATACATAGAGAGAGAGAGAGGGAGAGAGAGATAGAGAGAGAGTCAGAGAGAGAAAGAGAGAAAATGTGCACTGCAGTTATGTATCTATTTGTGTCAAATACCATTGGCAGTGAGAAGGCTACAGCATGTACCACTGATATGCGACAAAATACTGGGCTTCTATCTATTTCAAAGCACTTGCCCTGGTACTGTAAAGTGTAAATCAAGGAATAAATAGTTAGGAGGATAATTTTTCTGTGCCAGACCTAAAAAAAACACACAAATAATACTTGTTGAAGATTTTTGGCAAAACTAACTAGTGTGTATGTGAATGAATAACCTGATTCTATAGGCGCCCATGTTTAATCGAAAGCCATATTAGCAATGCAGTACTTGATATTATTAATTACATATTGGCCTACCTACTGTTGTCAATGATCTTTGATTTGCCAACTTTTATCTTGTATGTATTCATTTCCACTCTTTTTATTTCATCTTTCACAGAAAGCAACGTCTCTGGCTTCAAGAATCGTGAGCTTTCCAGACGCATCCATCTCTTCATGATTGTGTGTCATCAGAGCATTTCTCCTGCGTATTGTGGAAGCTTTGTGGGTGTGATTCTTGAGTTTCCGTGGCAACCCCTCGTCCCATGTCCCTCAGAGAGCACAACTTCCCTGCAAAGGGAGTCAAGAGAAGAAGAGAACCTCATCCCAGATGGACATTAAATCCTATATGAAAACATCCATCACTCGCATCTCAACATCCATCTCTATCCTACAATCTCAATTGCGTATCATCTACGATACATCCTAGTTTATCCTCCAGCGCACTTAAGGTCTCATCTTGCCACAGGTGAGGTGAGTTCTGTCGGTCGTCGACTCACCAGGACGAGGAATAGTTTCCTTTGGTCAGAAGCCATCATCACGGCATCGCCACCCGTTCCCACCCATCGCTGCTCCTCGGTGCCCATCATCGGCAGCCTACTGTCCTCCTGGTGGTGGGGAGCTGAGCGGGATTGCATGTGTGGCTCTGTGGGGGCGCTAGACTGCACAAAGCTCCTCGGACACAGTACCTCTAAGACAGGCAAGATGGTGAAGACATTCCAGGCCTACCTGCCCAACTGCCATCGCAGGTATAGCTGTATCCACTGCAGGGCTCACTTGGCTAACCATGATGACTTAATATCAAAGGTAAACTACCAACTTTCTTTGGGACATCTCTTTGTATTGCTGATTATAGTGGACTTTTTCCACGTGTGATACTCCCATGTTTTCACAGACACATTTCGCAGTATTGATCCTGTCATTTTTCATTTCTCTCCAGTTGAGATGAATTGTGAGGGTCATTTCATGACAATCTGTAACATTGGTTTACATTAGCTTTCAAGAAAATTCAGTGGCAATGAAGTTCAAGACAGTTGATGTAAAGCACAGATTTGGGTATATGGGACTTTACCAATATTTGGCATAAAAATCCGGTCCAAAGTTTGAAGCTTTTTCTATTTCTATTTTGAATATGAGGGGATGTTAAGAGCAATCTTTCCATGGAACAATTAATGCCTTTACAATGTTCTCCCACAAATGAGGAAAAACAAATAATAAGAAAGCTCCCAAATAATTTTCAAACTTGTACAATTACCAGAACTCGACCTTGTCCTTGGTTGATTTTAGAAAGGTAGAAAGGACTGTAACAACAATAACAATGTCTGGACTGTCCCAGAGCTTTACAATGGATCTAACAATTCATTCATGACTCATTCTGTTAGATAAACATGCATTGTCTAGTATGGCAATGGGAATTGGGATGATGATTGTATGCACCATTGCTGGTTAACAAAAGGTTGGTTTGACAGTTGGCACGCTGTATGACGCAAACATCGACACCTGACTGTCAGGAAATAAACTTGTGCTCCATGTAGGGTTGGTGCTTATTTGCATGCAGTCGCAAGCTATGAAACATAGCACATGTTTTGCAATGTGACGAACTGATCGATCATTCATATATCGCTCAAATATATTTTTCACATGTGAAAAATAAAAAATAAGCAGGTTTTGTACCTTCCTTTGTCGGCTTAGTGTAGGAAGATTGGATGATAGCCTAGGCATACATGTATGCTTCATATCACCGTGCATTGTAACTACTGCAGCCTCTCATATTTCATTACAAGATGATTACAGAGATACCAGTATTATCTGCGGAAATGAAAGTTGAAACGTCATTAATTATACTCCATTTCATTTATCCTGAACGGACAATCTTTCACTTCCTTTCTTTGATTTGATAAAGGCCTTTTCATGAGTGAAAATATTTGCATGGAAGCTTTGAGTGAGTGGGTTCCTGAAAGGTCCTCAAGAAGCTCTGGAAAATTCAAACAGCTGCAGAAAAAACAAAAACAAGAAATAAATATGAAAACAACAAAGAATACATACAGTACTAGACTAAATATTGGGAAAGGGCTCTATTAAAACGAAAGGTTTTTTTTAATGGTAGTTTTTACACTGGCTGCCCTTCAATTATATATATGATACATGTGCCGTACAGTGCTTGTTTGTATCCCCAAGAAGTATTTGTTAATGAAAGGTTGCTTTGATGTAAACCTCACCTGACCGTGTTATGAACTTGTGAACCCAAGTAGATATGTCATTAAATATTAAACATGATTCTAGACAGGGAAGGGATGAAAACAACCTCTGATGCACACATCGTCTTGCCAACATGTAGTCTAAAAATTTAGGACTGAATAATAATCATTCATATTTAATAATATATTAGTTTATACATTTTCCTTTAAGAGAGCGGATGAATTATACACTAATGTTAAAATGAAAGGCCGGTCATGAAAATTTGAACACCTTTTCTACAAGGGTTACTTAGAGAATGCAATGCATATAAACAAGTATGATTCTATTCTGGAAAATACTAAAAATGAAGTATAGTGCCCCACCTGCCACCTCTCCTTGCCAAATAAGTTGAATGCATAATAGCCTGCGAGACTGATTATTTGCCAAATATCGTGCTATTTGCTAAGAGTCTGTATTTGTAGACTATCGTAAACCTTGACTGTTATGAAAGTAGCTTATAAACCACTTGTAATTCATAAATTGTGGTTTTCCTTTTCCCTTCCTGATGAGTTTGAAGTGAGAGTAGGAAGTCTACATTACAAGTCCCTAGAGAACTACAAAAACAAAGTCTATTACATGATATACCAAAACATCTAAATTGTCCAGCTTTGTAGACATCCCTTTGAGGCGCATTTTAATTTGATAAAACTCATGAGGTCAACAGTATTTCAAACTAAATGTTTTTTAGTCTGGTTAGGGAGCTGGAAATAAAACATATGAAGATGGCCTTTAAAAAAAAATCTATTTATTTAATGAGACAATAATGTGGGTTGCTTGGTATTGCAATTAACGTACCTCTATTTAAAAACAAATGGACCCTTGCACTAACTATTAGCGGATCAGTGGAATAGCCATATCAAAACCACCGCTTTCCACTCTTAAGGCCTAGTCCATATGATACTGAATATGCTTTAACAAATTGGGATGAGTAAAATTAAGATGATACCATGCATATGATTGGCAAAAGTGCAGTGAAATAAAACGTAAATGCTACAAAAATGGCTGTTAAGTGTATTCACTTTTTTATGTAGTATAAGATACAGAATTGATTTGGGTGCTATGTTTGTAATCTAAAGTTTTTAAAAGCATCCCATGTGAAAGAGGCATGAAAAGGCTGAATTCCATCTACAGTACTTGTAAGATGTAGATGGATGAAGCAAAATGAATGAATAAAACATGAGCTTTGTAGAGAGTGTGATGTAAGTTTTTAAAAGCTTCTTGAATCTATTTGTGCAAAGGGTGCCTAGAAATATATGAGGAAATAGTTTCTCATGCCTAAATAAGGGGGTTCTATAGTTTACTGCTGTCTCTGAAGTATTCATGAATACTTCAGAGACAGCAGTAAACTATAGAACCCCCTTATAAATGTAGGGTGACAATAAGATTCATGAATCCAATTAGCACTTAAGCGCTAGAATTTATAAATCTTTATTATTTAGTCCTTGATCTGACTCTTGCAAAATTTCTTAAAAGTGCCCATAAATCCTCATTTTGGAAGGGAATCCCAGAAAGTAGCTTAAAACCAAACCTTAGGAAGATTACAGTTTTGTCAAATTCTAAAGCAAAAAATCTTGTTATTGATGTAGATTTGTTGACTCTGGGAAAGGTCTCTTGTTGCAATTAAGATTTCTTTGAAGTCTATTTCAAATATGAAAATCATACTTTGTTTCTTTTCTTCTTTTTGATGGGGGTGGTGCTATAAAGTAGCTACTTTCGTCTTCTTCCATGTTGTTTTTTCTTTCATTCCTGAGGCAGGTAATCTTTCTACTATTTATGAGAGATTGGCTGCTTTGATAATATCCGAAACGTGCTCCAACCATCTCATCATCTCTTCCCTGCAGTGTGTTAGGTGCTAATCAGTATGATGGTGGAATTACTTTCCAATATCCATACAGAGTGATGTTGAGAAACATTCAAAGGATTATTCTCTCCCTCTTGACTGTGGATTCATGAATAGAATCGCCATTAGAGATAGCATGCCTGGAGTGTTGTATCGGTGATGTGACATTTCCTCCTGCCATCACACCCCAGCCACACCTTCAAGGCAGGAAGTCACACTGTCAAAAGGCTCCTTAGATAGACCCAATACCACTTGAGAATCTAATCAAAATTTCACTCCATTTTTGAACAAATATAAGAAAGGTGTACATATGATCATCGTTTTTGTGAGGAATTCTCAAAAGAAAGATAATTATTGCATAATATCTTCTAGACTGTATTCCTAAGAGATTTCTGGCCTTTGTCTACATGTAAGGGGGGGGGGGTCTTTTTGTCCATGTCAATATCACACCATACAACAGCTTGCTACCTTTACTCTGTTAGAAACTAATTAGATTTTAATTATGGCCTACATGTCAATCAGTAGCTCACTAAACAAGTGTTTAACATGTGCAGCACTCTTGCAATTATAAGCCAGTGTTGATCAACTCTGAATCGAAGGTGGGATGAGACGTTAGTCGGAAATCATGTAATCAACATGGCTCTATTATTTAATTGAATGTAACCGCCTTCGGAAGCTTGTTTGAACTATAGACTTTTTTGCTAATTGCAATGAATTCCCAACTCTAGTCTACAGTCGACCAACAAGGATTTTTCTCCTCATATAATCCTTAAAAAAACTCTCTCAGAAAATCTCAGAATTAGCATGAAATCCAGGGGATTACTATTTAATGACTCTGTCATTCATATCTAGAGGCGATCATTATCTTTCTGCGTCCTCAAACTTTCTCAACTTATCAACAAAAGGCGCATTTATACTGTCAAATACCTCATTTCGAAAAATCGCGATGTTTGGCGCTCCCGTTTACACTTTTGCTGTAACATCACCGACTGAAAATCTCAGGGATGTTTTGGCGTGTTTTGGTTGTATAAACAAAGATATACAAATTAAAAAGAATAGGTCATTAAATTTCTGAATTTGTCTTTCTGAACGATCTATTGTGCAAGGTTTTGGTGTCTTGAGGATTGTGCATGTACATCATGCTATTCTGAATTCTAGATAGAATCTATAGAGAATGAATCTTGGATTATGAACATGTATGATGCAATTTATTCCTACAATTCATTCCTACAGGCTACATATCATTTTTTGTAGCTCGTTTCAACCTCCTACCTTTTAGTAAACCAACCCCTTCCAATTTAATGGCAAATATATTTTGTATCTTGTTAGATGATAACCCAGGCTTGTTCACACTTCTACTGGTAGGAGTAATGTAGATCATAAACATATATTTTCTTGCATCCGTACGACCAAAACAAATGCATCGAAGTGAAAGGTGCAAGAGGAAGCTGGTTATTATTGTTTTGGTTCAGCGAATTGGCTCCTATTATCTTTAGTTGAGACAAACCATTTCCTGATGTAGCTGTTGATATCTGTCAGACAATACACAGCTCAGCCAAAAGGCTGATTTTCCGGTCATAACAAACCCTTGTTTTCCGGTCATAACAAACCAGGCTTAGTTTACGTTCATAACAAACCCTAGATTGCAGACACTGGCCCTTGTCAGTTGTATTGCGTAACAGTGTCTGCACTGTGAGACTAAGCTGACAGCATACTGCATAGGCTCTGCTCAAGGCTGCAGGTATTGTGGTGTACAATTTGAGTCTGAACCTGAAGACTACGATATTGCATTGTATCATGTTCAAAGTATACAGGCCTCTATGCTTTGGTGACTTTGCCCTAATGCTTAACTGTATTATGACCATAGCTCAGTATTTACATTTACTTTTCACTTGTTAATCATTTTATGTATCACTTGTGCTGACTTTGCAAAAAAAGCTATGACGTATGCATCAGTTTTATAGTGGATTTTGGAATAAAAGGGCGTAAAGTAATTGTCTGTCCCTATCCCATCCAATGATTGATAATATATAGGAAGGCTCTATTGTTTATACTCTTTACATAAGACATATACAAATTATGTATCGTTATATACTTGAATACCCTCACCCTAGGGTATAATTATGCAGACTATTATCATGTTTCATATATTTCACAGTAACATAAACACCTGAACTGCCTGGAAGACTGAGTTTGACCTCATGCTAAGCTTTAATTGCTTCAAAAGTTGTTTGTTATGATTAAAAGTATTCTGAAGTCTGAAACCAAACTTGAGGTCAATGGTCATTTGGTTTTATATAAGGTTGCAATTTTTTTCTTCTGAAGTAGCATTCTGAGGTCATAATTCGTTCACCGTTGATTGCTGCTAAATGTTAGATGGTGACCTATCCCAGTTTTCCACTCTTTCTAAAAAAAAGTCCTCTGTCATTTAGATTGATTGAATCATATTCTTCTTCTTTTTTTTCTTTTTTTTTGTTGCTATTATGTAATTATAAACTTGTGCCATGAATATATGAGAAATATTATCATATTCATAGTGTGATGATCAAAGTAACAAAAGTAGGCAGCATACATCATCATCAAAGTTCTCATCTGAGTTTTTGTACAATTTCCACTTTTTTATTATTATTGTTTTATTGTTATTATATTTCGAGTGTAAAAAAATGACTGCATTCAAAGTAACATGTATTACATGTAGGTCTTGCCGTAGTATTTTTATTTCTGTAATTTCTTTCTTATTCATTCTCTTTTTTTCCTCCCTCTTTTTTTTCTTTACAGTCATTTCAGGGTAGCCAAGGCAGGGCATATCTCTTCAATTCTGTGTAAGTATAATAAAACCATTCAACAACTTCCTTGTTTAACTATCTTTACTTATTTTTTAAATCTCCTTTGTTTTATTTTGTATATATTGTACTTTGACTTGTTTATCTCTAACTTTCTTTTACTTGTTTATCTCTTTCTTTTACTTGTTTATCTCTTTCTTTGAAATCTTTCAACCCTCAAGATAACAACATGATTGTTTGTTGAATGTGTTTGTATTCTTGACCTACTTAAACAGTTTGTAAGTGTTTATTCTGTCTGCAGCTCATGTGAAAGTGGGTTTTTGTACAATTGTGAGGCACACATGTAGGTCTATTGAGTGCTTATAAATGTACAGTATGACTATACGTTTCTATGATAGCCTGTGTGTGTAATATTGTCTGCTTTACATCCACCCCCTCCATTACAACAATATGTAAATACAGAAGGAAATACCATTTTTAAAGAATAATGATTACATGAATTAATTAGTACATTAATAGGTACATTTCTCTCTCTCTCTCTCTCTCTCTCTCTCTCCCTCTCCCTCTCCCTCTCCTTCTCAATAAAGTTGATAAGACACGTTTTAAAATTAAATTCAGAATCCAATTTGATTTATTGTAAACAATGATTTGAAGTCCATAGAACATATAGGGTCTCAATGTTTAGTAAACATGGAGGCAGTCTGTATCAGTCAGTCCTCCATTGTTGTTATCTTACCATGTGTGATATTATGACCTGTGTGTTATTATGATGACCTGCATGATATGTGGGGAAGATACCCAGGGTAGTCCCATAGATTGATCATAGATAGTCTACCTGCAGACCCTTTATTTGTCTAAAGCTGTCACGTACCGTATATTATGATCAAGAGTGTTATTTTAGTTGTTTCAAATGGGAAAAAAGTTAGAATGGGTATGTTACACCATCAGCATGTATAATAAAATTATGTTCTGCTTGATAATTTTTATCAAACATTTCCCCTAATGACGTCTGCAGGGGATCGATGTTATGACTGTAAGGTTAATAAGATGATTAAGACTGCAGTGTCAGACTATCCAATGAATTCATAACAGTTGGACCTTGATACAGCATGATAGGTGTGTGTGGGGGTGGGGGTGGGGAGGGGGAGGGTGGCTGGATTATTCTGGCATGTGTCATCAATGTGTATTGAGCACATAAGCTGGGTAGGATAATAGTCTGCCAGCACAGACTCTAATTTGATTTAATTTTAATTAAATGGGGACACAAAATAATTATTGTAATTGAAGGGCTTAGCTTAATCATTTTAGAGGGGTATCATTGCCAATGAGTAGGGACATGTCAAAATTATGTGTGGGGCACTTGATAATTTGAATCTTAGAGTACAGTATGCCATGGTGCAGTGCAGCTGCAGTTAGGACATCAAAATTGTTTATTAAAGATCAAAGAACCCTCGTAAAAGTTACTGCAGGTATCTAGGGTTGTAAAATAATTTTTGAGACATGATTCTGAGGAAAGGCATGAAAATGAATGGAGTGGGGTGCAGTAGCAAATTCCTAGTATAACCTCATACAGTACAGAATTACAGATCATAATTAAATACATGTATGTAGATTGCTCATTATAAAAATTGTTTTGGCGACAACTTTACAAGGTCTTTGAAACAAAGAATCTTAAGATGCTGGTGCCTTTACTACACATTAAAAAAAATGATAAGAAACTTGAAAGAGAATCTATGTAATGTACACTTAAATTGTAGGAAACCTTTCATAGTATGATCTTTGAAATGATGGATATATCAGTTGCCAGTTTCTTGACCTGATATGCAACCTTTAAAAGTGTATGCCTACCTGGTATAATGAACAGGATGTCATATTTTGTGGGTTTATAATATAGATATATTTTACAATCCCTTTCTACCGGCTTTACAAATATCCACATTTTATAGTCCCTTCTACTCCTCTAGGATCTTCAAAATCTAGGTTACCTGTTTAGGCTTTTCCTTTATATTGATAGAGTTTCTTACATTATAGCAGTATCCCTAGGGACCTCAAACATGAGCAGGAGTGATGCTGGCTTTCGAATGTATTAGGAGGAAGTGCATAGGAAATGTAAACCTACATGTATGACTGCTACAGTCCAAACCATCACAGTGTCCCTACATGTAGCTTTCCAGTGCTATGTTTACATTTGGTATGAAGTGCATGTTTGTGTCGCATGCAAGCTGGTTCAATAAACCAGATAAGTCTGTAGGTAGGTTGTGTAGAGCTGGCAGTGTAATTGTATGGGGTCTTTTCCCTTCGCAGTCCGTTTGTTATGGTATAGATTTTTCTTGCTATTGTTGAGCAATTATTGTCCAAACCCATACACAGGGAAAGGCACCAAATTGATCCCTAGGTACCTATAGTAGTCTTTCACCTGTACGTTTACTGTGGTGTGGAACCAAAAACCTTACATATTTTGTGAGGGGTTCAGACAAATCAAAAATAAATAAACAATGAATTTTGCAATCCACTTTTCGTAAAAGTACAGTGGCTTTCATTTATAATATTAGGGGAAAAACTTTCATGTAGTACAAGTTTCTAATTTCAGTTTATTACCGTGTAATGAATAAAAATAATATTTAATTTTTATGTAGCGCTTCTAATACTTGCATTCAGGTACTATGATATGGTATTTTTAAAATGACTGGTACTTGTAATAAAAGCTTTATAATGATGCATGACTGTACTTTGCATAAAACTAGAAAGTACTGTGACATGTGCACATTTTCATAAATTTTTCTGCCTGGGTCAAAAAGCGCTGTACAATCCAGGTCCTATGTAGCCTGTAGGCTCTTTACAGAAAGATGAAAAGAAAAACGAGCACAAAACCATTCCTTGAAATGATCTGTTTGTGGTAAAGGGTCAACCCATAACAAACTATAAGTATAAAAAGGGGGTCTGTTTGTGTAAACTAGTGTGAAGGTAACCAGTGAAAGTTCAGAACCCTCTTCCATGGCCTACCCTAATAACAATACAATAGTATGGATTCTACGTTTGTTATGGGAAGTAAGTAGAAAGGAAAGTCTTGGTTGGGTTGGGTGAAAACATTTCTATCCCAGGAAAAAGAAGAATGGATAGACAGATAATCATAATAATAACAGAAACCCACAAATAGAAGTAATTGAAATACAGAAGTGATCAAAAGATCTTATCACTGAGAAGAACTAATCAGAGAGAGAGAGTAATAAAGTTCGAAGAAAAGAAAGAATTGTTCCTATTGTGTTGCATTTTCATGGTCTAGTTCTAGCATGGTATGGCAAGAAAAACTTGGCTGAAGAAGAAAAAAAGAAAGAACATGTGCCTCAAAATATATACTCACTTTGCTGGATTTAGCTGTGAGGTAAAAATAATAAAGCTTGCAACCTATTTATGGAAATATTGGATTAATAATGCTGGCATGAGGTGAAAGACAATGTATGGGAAACCTTTTGTTTTTCAAAGCTTTGTAAGTGTTTATCAAGGAAAAAAGGCTGTTTGGAAAATAAGACCGATTGTTTGGTTCTGATAAGAACGGACATGAAAAATAAAATGAAAGGTCCTGCAAATATTTTATTTAGCTTGCCAGCAGGGCATCAGCGCATCAGCTATGTTTGCCTGGATGCCTCCTGAAATCATTTAAAGTAGATTGTGAAAATTTATGTAGGTGGGGGGGGGGGGGTAGATTTGTAGATGTCTTCTGAGCGAATGAAATCCTTAAATCTTGTACAAATATAGGGTCTAGTGACCAGCAGACAACATCACATCGTCCTTGTTGTGCTGTGGATTCAGGGAAACATGGAAGAAAAGGAACTGTATCACATGAGGAAACATGGTCAACATTTGAGATTAAACAAATGACCCCAATAACTAGGGTGAGGTTAAATGATTGTATGTTGACAGGTTTCTATTATTCTGGTACAATGAGAACTCTCAGAAACAGGGACATGTCAGAATAAGAATAGCTTTAAGTATAAGCATTGTCACAGTAAGGATTTCAAAATAGGAAAATAAAGGGCTTATTTGTAGATTCAACAACATGCCCTCTTCAGTAGTCCCCTCTCCATGAAGGCTATCAGCATGTGTTATTTGATATTCTATAACTTCCTGGATTTAAGATTGCCATGCTGTGCAATATTTTGGAGTATTTATTTCTTTATTTTTATTTTGTCCCCCCCCCCCCCCACTCCCATTATATATATATATATATACTGGTATGATTGATAAACATGCTTAGCACATACATGTACAGTGTGTAAAGGCTGCATGTAGCTTACATCTACAAGTACATGTAGGTCTTGTTCTGTGAACAAGCAAGGATCCATTGATTTTTACTCCTTCTATTGATCAGTATACCTAAGTTTTTTGTTCCATTTCATAGAAAAAAATCATCCTTCACTACTCAGTGGTAATACCATGGACCTTCAAGTCAAATAGATTAACTACATAGTTGTAGAATGTAGATGCTTGGTTTATCATTGCAAGCACTTTAACATGTAAGGCAGTTAATCTGATCGTATTTCTATGTATTGTTCATGAATTACTAAGAAATATATCATGGCAATGTATGCCTGGTAAATGAAGGTAAAACAAAATAACAATAGCCTCATTAAAGGGTGGGCTCCTTTAAATATCCATACAGTTTGTAGAATTATTAGAAGTGATAAGGAATGATATTTTAAAAAATTGAATCACATGCCTTCTTAAATCATGTTAGCATAATTTTAGCATTAACATTGAACTATTTCGGTAACAAATGGCAAAAAAAGGGGAAATAATATTTTGTCAACTCCATAGGTATGCAATGCACATGTCTATATAAGAACGACATGTATATTTAGTCGATCCTGTTCTAACTTAGTATAAGATTTAGCCGTAATGTAATTTTCCAGTGGCTTTGAATAAATCCCTTGATAAAGACTATCAAATGCTGTGGTCAAATGGTTAATTATTTCCATACCATTAGACTAATCACCAAATCCCTTTCCTTCTCAAATAATGCACATTTAATCAGCCTTTCCATTAGTACATATTCTTTTGACACAAAGAGTTCACTTTGCGGCACATTTCAGGATGCAGAACTTTTCTGATGACATATATCACATTGATTTTATCACATTAAAAATACATTAATAAAACACAGGCTTATGTTACAATGTTGATTATTTCCCATACAACTCTGTTGATTGTTAGATTTTAAAAAAACTTGACATGTATGGTTGTGATACAGCTAGAAATATAAAATCATAGGGTTTAATCTTCCTTCGATGGAAAAGATAATGAGGGCCTCTGAAAGGCAATATTCCCCAAAAAACTCTGAAAAATCCACAATGAATAAAAAATAGAAATATCACTTATCATATATTTGTTGGCAATATCTATACAAGTCCAATTTATTATTTATCAGACTTTCTGATGGAGTGTGTTCTACCGAGTCTGTATTAAAATCCAGCAATTTCCTCAAGGATTTTGAAATGGAGAGATTGTTGAGTTCATACAGTCCAGACCCAGCTTAAATGGCATGATATTAAAAAGTTTACATAGCTCTTTATTCGGCAACTACCAGCTTTTCTCACCTAACCAAATGAATACTGCAAGGAGAAATTTTAGATGTGATCGATCAGAGACAGGAAATATTTGATATCTAAACCGTCTTTGTGATCTTAAAACGTGAGGATGAAGCTGGTAGAGATACAAGATAATATGATGGTATCTCTTCCTCTAGAAAGTGATACAAATAAACCCGCATACCATTACACTGTGTTCACACTCTACATCCTCAAGACAATCTAAAGCAAACGTTCAAAAGTGGTTTGTGATCATATTTATGTACTTAGGTATTGGGGTGGAGTTGGATTAAATTTGACTGTAAAGGGTTTAAAATAATGTACATTTAATTTAAACAAAAAGGTACTGTGCTATTTTGTTTGATATTTTGGCTGATATTGTCATGTAAACAAAACACTTTGGCAGTTTAGTGCAATTTCTTTCTTTTTTTCTTTTTTTTTATAATATGGGGGGGGGGGGTTCTTTTTCATATCCTGGGCATATTATTTCTTAGCCCTTTTTTATGTCTTATCTTTCTGCATGAGAATGTATCTTCCGGTATGCAACTTAGTTTGAAAAAGAAGACATGATATCATTTGCATGAAAAGAGGCTCTGTGTGCCCTTGTATGCCATAAGGAAGTACAGGCTATTGTTTGTCAACAATACCTTCATAAGGAAGAACTGTAGAGATAATGGAAATCAAACTGAATTCAGGGAAAACTCGCTTGGGGTGATGTTTTTGTTATTGTTTATGTAAAGTCTATAGTCTGAATTGCATGAGGAATTGCTCTGTGTCAAAGAAGAAGGAAGGAGGAAGAATTAACAAACTTTTAGGACACATTGTTACGATGTATACATTGCACGGGCAACAGAGCTGATTCTGCTTGTGTAATGATGGCCCTCGTTTACCGTTGTTATACTCAAACATTTTGGACGTGTATGAGGAAGTTGTTATTAAGATTGTTGCATGAGGAACTTGTCTTATGTTTGCAGTCACATCACCTTTGTTATGGCATATCAGTAAAGGTCAGAGGGTTGTAGAATGAGGGATATGTATACTAAGATGATATATTTTCCAATTTAAAGTCTGCAAACTCATAATTTTGTATGCAAAGAGCCAAAAAGGCATTAAATCACACACTTTCCTGCAACACACAGTTAAGCCCTTCTAGCTTTAGATGGATAATAAGTTTTATGGTTCACAATTCCAACATCTCCACACTTTGCATATTCTGAAAAATATCAATATAGCATACAAGTATACTGCAAGATACAAGGAAGTTCAATGAAAACCAGGTCATATGTTCTTATTCTGTGAAGGCTGAAGAAGGTTGTTTTTTATGAAACAAGGTTACTTCCTTTCCAACCATGAACAAAGAGTTTTTTCTCTCTCTCGCTCTCTCTCTCTCTCTCTCTCTATCTCTCTTTCCCTCTCTCTCTTTTCCCTCTCTCTCTCTCTCTCTCTCTTTCCCTTTCTCTCTCTCTCTCTTACCCTCTCTCTCTCTCTCTTTGCCTCTCTCTCTCTCTCTCTCTTTCCTTCTCTTTCCTTCTCTTTCTCTCTCCCTCTCTCTCTTTATCTCTCTATCTCTCTTCATCTCTCTATCTCTCTTTCCCTCTCTCTTACCCTCTCTCTCTCTTTCTATCCCTCTCTCTCTCTCTCTCTCTCTCTCTCTCTCTCTCTCTCTCCCTCTCTCTTTCCCTCTCGTGTCATCAAACCATAAAAAGCACTTCAGCACAACGTCCATGTAAATGAGCTTTGGTTACATTGGTTATCACTAGATCAAGTGCTCTCACATGAGAGCCAGAAGGTCATTGATCACCTCCTCTAACACAGAGTTAAGACCCTTCTGACTCTGTACAGATGATATCTTCATATGATGTGGAGTTGTTATACTTGGAATACAAGAGGAAATTTGATCTCTTTGACTCTGACACAGTTTTTAGCCACATCCTGGGTGATTTATGCACCTTTGGTGCTAGGGAGTCACTCAGAGCTGAAATGGGACTAGTGTTATGTTTATTGTGATTATCTGATGTAATTGAAATCCAGGTGTTTATAAGAGAAGTTCGCATCAAAGAATTGATTGATGAATGGTAAAAGAAATGGGAAGGCAAGCATTGTACTCAAGTGAACTTCCATTTGGAACGATGTTTCTATTGCAACTAACAGTTACATTGATTAATCTGATAATTGCAAGAACTCTTTTAAAATTGATTGATTTGATTTCATAGTTAGTAATCCCTGGTCCCATATATGTATAATTTTGTCTGGAATTTGTTTTTGACCTCCATCAATTTTTTTTCTCGAAGAATGTCCTGTTGTTTCATCCCATCAATTATTGTTTGATGTTGTGTCATTGCAGGGTGAACGTTGGTTGCGGACCTGCAGAAGAGAGAGTCCTTCTCACTGGTCTCCATGCCGTCTCAGATATCTACTGTGAGTGCTGCAAAACCACTCTAGGATGGAAATATGTAAGTATTGTACACAGTTTTAAAGGTGATTCCAAAGCTGATCATGAGTTTGGTAATGGAATTGCATATCAATAGAACTGTGCATGTTAGTCTGGTATACTTCAAGGCTGGATTGGCTTAAAGTCATTTTAATGGTTAAATGTGCAGTTAGGTGTGAGGACCAGCAAAAAGTAAACTGATTAACAACAATTCAGAAAAACTTATTCCATATCCTTGGAATAATAATATTATTAAAATACAAAAATAACATTTTACCTTGAATCTTCATTATTTGTTGGCATTTATCCATTTAAAAATATTCCAATGTGTGATTGGCATGTCTTTTGTAATCTAGGTATTGAGGGAACATCTTCTAAATCAACAAGCTTTTGTAATTGAATTGGCAATCATCCAGTAAATAGAAGAAACAAATAAAGGGATTGGCAGAAAAAGCTTGTTTCAATCTGAAACTATGATGCATTACCAAATATGAACTTGCTGTGCCATTGGCCTGTAAAGGTACTCTTTGTTTTGCTGATTATTGGTTAAAACGTGAAAACCCAAACAAACCGTAAACCTTATATCACCCCCTTCAGCCTGGTCTGGTGTCCATAATATTTGCACAGACGTCACTGGGTCATCTTTGTTCCTCCAGTATAAGTGCTTCTACAATGATCATTATTCATTGTAGATAACAACATCCGCAGTTAGTCACCTCATAGCTTTCTAGTTAGGGACAAAGTATTGTTTACCAGAGCATGGTCCATTCCATAAATGCCCCCAGTTCATATTTACATCTCCATTTATTAAGCAAAGAAACTTAATGATTATTGACTAGAGGAAACTAGTCCATGAATAAGAACCTTTGAGAAATGGGGTTCTGTTTGTCCTTGCTCTGTGTTTGTATTCAAGATTATGAGGAACATAACTAAAATGAGCAATTTATCATTGTGCTTCACCATTTGAGTTCATATTGGCACAAAGTACAGACTGGCTGGCATCACTATTACCGTCACAGAAAAACATTGTGAGATTCTGCGCAGGTGATTGTAGAGGGAGTGATAGGAAGCAGAAGATAATGTGATTGGCTGAGAGCCAGAAGGACATTGACTCATGTGCTTTCAACACAGAGTTAGCGTCCTTCTGGCATTTAAATGATGTTTCAATCAAAGAGAAGAGTTGCAGACAGAATTGTGGATATCTCCTCAGTGATGACACAATCCCTTTTGTTTTTGGTTGTTGAAATTATTCTATAGGCAGCTGATACTTTGCTGTCAGTTAACGATTGATAGTAGTCAGCTGTTCTTGCGTTGCGCCATACACCGAAACCCATTTGAAACGTGTGAATTTTTCACCTAGCGCACATGTTCTCTCAGATAGCGGCGTGACTTGTGATGATGGTTGTTATGGTACCGAGGGGTTGTTTTCTCATCATTATGCGAGGTGGGATAAGTTTTCTAGGTTTTAGCAACTGAGGAGAAACCTGTAAAAAAAGAAAAGAAAGAGAGAGACCCCCTCCCCCCCCCCCCCCCCAAAAAAAAAAAAAAATGAAAAGAAAGGAAACTTGAGATGAGTAGTCCTAACCCTTATGCAGATAACACTCTATATCACAGGCAAAATAGGATAATGAATGTGAGTTTTCAACAAGTATTAAATCCTGTTTTTGCAAACAAGAACACATATGCTCTTGTATAGGGCATATCACAGGCAATTTCTGTGTGGCTTTAAGAGAGCTTTTGATTATGTACTTCCCAAGTTCCCGATATATTCAAGATGACAGTGAGCTGGTCTCCTCCGGATTGCAGTCCCCTTAAGCTGTTCCATTACCAGAGCTTAAGATGAGCTTTAATTTACAATTACCTTGTTTTTGAAGCTGGTCAGGTACTTCAAGTGTAAATGCAATCTGTGCAGGCTTCATGTGCATCCTTTACAAGAGCACTTAGAACTAAAAGCTAAGTGCACAATGCTTCAAATACAAAGCTCTTGAATTAGCTCGGTAGAACTCTAAGATTTGTCATTATTATAATGGCAGGAAGGTGGAATTGGAAATTAATTTGTCTCTGGTTGTTGTTGAGAATACGGATATTCCTCCGAGCTATAGTAATTTTAATTTCCTGCGCTCCTCTTGTTCTGCCAGAAAGCCATCAATCAAAATTTTATTATTCTCATATATAATAATCTTCTAAAGTCCACTCCAAATTTTATTCAGTTAAACCGAAAATGGAAATTCTTTTTGCCCAATTGATCGTGAGCCCGGCAGCCACTGAGCAGCGCCAGATCGACATTGCTCTCTCCCTTATTGTTGAACGCCAAACAAGGTAGCAGCAACTCCTGTCTTTTAACGTAATTTGGTATGACGCGGCCGGGGTTCGAACCCACGACCTCCTGGCTGTGAGGCGGACGCTCTACTGACTGAGCCAACACACGGTATTACAGTCATATACAGTAACACCGGTCATACAGTCACAATCACTAGAGGTACTCTTCTAATTCAAACTAGAAATACATGATCAAAAAACTTTCAAAAAGACTATGGGAGGTAAGATGAGGTAAATGGTGACAAACTTACAATCATTTGAATTTATCATGAAATTACTCCTCTATTTATGATGATATCTCTGACTTTAGGGCTATTTTTCTAACCCCAGTACAAATAACCTTTCAATCATACAAAATAACTTTTTTTTTAAAGTCTAAAAATCCTTGTAATGGTGATGATTATTCTTAACCTTTCATTGATATTCCTACATTTCCAAAGAATTTAACCTTATTATTGTGTTATACATTGTGACCTATTTATTAATTTCTCTTGTCTATTTTTTCTCTCCTTTTCTTTCCTCTCTCAGGAGCACGCATTTGAGAACAGCCAGAAGTACAAGGAAGGGAAGTATATCATTGAGCTTGCCCACATGATAAAAGACAACGGATGGGACTGCGACTGAAATAAACAAACAAACAAACAAACAAACACAGATATGTATCATACCGCCTGGCCTTGTTGTTTATCAGTCAACAGCACTTCTACTTGAATCTGCTTTCTCAGCCTACCCAGCCCCGCCACCCCCTACCCTGACCAGTGTTTCAACAAATTGATATCTTCAAGATGACGGTGATTGCAAATTACTTTTGTCTACACTTCAACATTGGCAGTGTATCCTTGATTCTTTTTCCTCAAGCACTGCTAATGATGGCGCCGGCCTTTATCGGTATGTCCATGTATTTCTCCATTATAATACATCATTCTTTATGAAGTATGTGATATGATGAGGAAGGAACCAACAAAAGCAAATGCTTGCAACATATCTGCATTTACCATATATCACTCTCAACCATCTGCAATATGCAGAAAAGCTCAGCTGATGACATCATCAATGACATCATCGCTTCAGCTTCATTTGGACCAAGTTCGCAAGAATCATTTTGTAAATGAATATCAGATTAACAACATGGTCATATTAGCTTATTGTGTGTGAGGGAAAAATTGAATTATATATTTGGCACGCATTCAAATATGTCATTGTAAGTTCTAATTTGTAATGATTATTTTTTTGAGAAGCATAAATGGTGTGGAGATGCGGCGTAATATTGATGGTAGAGATGGAAATAGAAAGCAAATGGATGGTACTATCTAGGCAGAAAGAACAATTGAAAGGAGCAGGGCGATGGTGAGGTGTGATGAGCCGGAATTGGTGCAATGAGCAGAGGGAGCGTGCTACGGTAGAAGAAGAAGCGGTTGCAATTATTCTTCGTCCATGATGACACAGGGCGACATGAAAGGCAGAAGGACTTATAGGAAGACTCGATTGGTTAAAGCTAATCAGCAGTGGAACAGTTCGGACTTATGTATCCATTTTCAACGTGGACAGAAGTTTGGCGTGTTATCGTCGAATCAACAGCAGAGACATCGGTCACTTGTTCGGAAACGTGACCAAATACAATGTTGATTGATGCGAAGGTTAAGGACAGCCTTATTTTTAAGCAGATGCCTCCACAAGGCATGATGAATATGCATGAGCATTGCATCATGAATATGCATAAGGGCTTATCACCGTTCAGCGGTACTTGATGTTTAAAACCTGATTGATTATCAGGTCGAGAAGTCATCTTGAATGTGTCAAGTTGGTATCGGTCTGAAGGATATAACCCGAGTGTTATGCTTGTGGGGAGTTTGGCGTGAGACGAGAGAGCACAATTGTACAGAATTTTATGTTAAGGCAGTGCATGCATCTCCAATGCATGATGCAGTTTGTAGAGGTTTTATTACTTTGATGTAGGAAGAAGATGTGCATGCATGAGGCGATGAGCAGAGGATGTTAAGATATAACCTTTTGATGCAGTCACGATGTAAATGATATATCCTTTTTTTCTTAGGGAAAGAGAGCTCCGAAAGGCTTATTTTGTACAATCTTGTGTATATATTCCTCTTACCAGAATGCATAGGCCATACACGTAGGTGTATCTTCACCTGAGAGAAAGTGATATATGCGCATTGTGATCCAAAAGGGTGTTCATGTGTATGGCACTGTCCGAGACTTGTGTTGTGTAGCAGTGTGCATGGTCTCACAGCATAGAGTGAAAGAAAATGGGCTCGTTTGTGTTGATAACTTACCGCTAGATTGTTCCACTGGGATATATTGAGATTCAAAGAGTTTTAAATGATGTATAATGCCTTCACCATGTAGTGTATATGATGTTATGGAGAGGAAAAGGTGTGAGTGAGTGGGTGAATATATGTGGGAGTGTGTGTGTGTGTGATAGTGTATGAGTGAATGAATAAATGAATGACATCAAAACAATATGATATGTTGTCGCGTACTTGTCATTAAAATGTACTATAACTTCAGATTTATCAAGTGCAAAGATACTGCTATAATAGTATCACAAACAAAACATTTTGATATACATGTATTATTAAACTTCACAGCAGCAACCCAATCAAGTTATCATGATGGAATAGTGAAATTCAATGCTAATTCTGGTCAGGTTTATCTCTGTCCAAATGTACATGCATGTACTGGTAATTGAGCATCATGGCTAATAGATTTTGTTACCCTGGATTATAATTGTAATGTTAATCCTCATGTTTTTGTTTTTGTTTTTACATGCACTGTATCAAAGCAGAAATGGGTTCAAATTTATCAAAAGCTAAATTATACTTATATTTGAGTGTGAATTAATTAGCTCTGAAATCAACTGAGGGATAAAAATATAATATTTTAACATTTAGGTCTGATTCGTTGACATATGGAGAGTATTTTAAAGTCACTGGAATGTATTACTCACAGTGCTACATTGTTGATCATGAGGACCAAAATTAGCTTGCACTTTGTCTGCCGAGAGCCAGGAGGGTACTAAACTTGTATACCATACTTTCATATAGAGAGCTAACACTTTTCTTGCTCCCATCATCTAATCAGGAGTGTACGAGGCTGAAATGCCTTGAAAGAGATCACTAGTGTTTTCGTCTCTGATGGCAGATACAGAAGGCCCCAGTACGAATGGAAATAATGATGATTGTAATGTACATTTGTAAAGAAAATTGTAATTTTCTCTAACTTCTTGAATTGCAAGGGGGAAAAGAGAGTTAGTATATTTTGCTTATGGATTTCTAACAACTACTCTGTTCAGTCTGGAGCATAACATCATTACACATTCAGGTGCAAGAGTGAATTTGAAAATTCTTTTTCTCCTGCTTTAGAAGCATTTCTAAATATATGCATTTTATGAAAACTACTATGTGAAATATTATTCCATCAGTGTAAGTTTACATGGTCTCTTTAGACTCAGACGGGCATTGACTCTGTGATAAAGTTTATGGAGTTAACGCCCTTCCGGCTCCAAACAGAAGCATGTAGTACGCTCTTTTCAGTCTTCTGTGTATGAAGCGCAGGCTCACTGCACTTGTATACGTCACAGCCTTGTATTATCATTACATTTCACTTCAAATACAAGAACACTTTGGCCCGAATTCACAAAGCAAGGTTTGAGCTCAAACCTCCTTTTGTTTCGCCAAACCTCCTTTTGTTCTTTACAAACCAGGTTTGTAAAAAACGAGTAAAACGAGTCATATGACGTACGAAAACCAAGGTTTGTCGACAAACCTCCTTTGTGAATTCGGGCCTTTGTGTCTTGATGATAACTTAAAGCAGTTCTGAAAAGACATTTTTTCTGTGACAGAGTTGGTCAAACCTGTATTTCAAGATCACTAAAGGGAATGAGAAAACCTGTGTTTAACTAAGGACAGTTGGTTTTAAGCTTCCTTTCATTACAGCTTTTGATGAAAAAAATGCTCAAGGAATGCAAAATTGTGGTCTTTATAGACAGGTGGTCTTTATATGGGACAGGTTAAACTGTGAACGATACACTAGTTGTTTTGAATATGAGATATCCTTTCTTTCAAACTTTTTTAAGAGACAACACTTCATAATTTGGACTTGACCAGACAAAGATCAATGGCATTAAAATATAAACCTTGCTCATAAATATTTAAGGAGTAATATTTGTTTCCATTACTTATGATATGATATAGGTTCAGTGATATGTACTCTATATGCTTGCATTGTTGAAGGATCAATTCTGTCTTTAAGATATTATTTGCAGAAGGTTTTGATTGTGGTTTCTATCTGTAGTCAAGTCATGTAAAAGCAATATTTGTTTCTTGCTATATACATTATGTGTATTTAAGTGTTATTTACTTTTGGTTTCGACCCTTTTCAAGGGATAGGAAGTCCTTTTTATACACCAAAATAGTTTCAAAACAATATTATCTAATGCCTCGATTTCTGGCAGATGCTGGGTATAAGTAACCTTGCCTTTCACACACTGAGTTGGAATCTGTTGTGCAAGCCATCATGCTGATGTTCAGTTATATGTGAACAGACCATTTTGATAATTGAGGAAAAATATAAGAAAGTAAGGTCGGTGTATTTAATTTTATCTCCTGCTAAAACCCAGAGGGGTGTCAACTCTGAATGAAGTTAAATGAGTAAACCCATTCTGACTTTCAGGAAATGATATCACGTTGAAATCAATTTTCTTGAAAAGCTCTTTTTAAACAGATGCAATTTGTGGTTTTGGATACTTGAGTTGCAAGTTTAAAAAAAAATTGTAATTTGTGAATACATTCCTCTCTCCCTACTTGAATGACTTGAGAATTCTCATATTTCCTTGTCAAAATTTAGCTCATTTATTTTACAATAGTTACCTCATCTTTCATATTCAGTTTGAATAACTTCAAGATGGTACTTAAAATTTTCTTTCCAATTATGATAACAGATGGATCAATCATTCTCTAAGTATGAACACACATAGCTTTGATAAACAGAAAAGAAACAGGAAAAAAGAAGTCAGTTCACATTTATTTTTGTTTCTGTTCATAGAAGAGTTAAAGGATTCCTTTTCAATGTGTGAAAGCTGGGTTTGTTTTTCTTCAGGAAACATGTTTGATAAAGCACTTTACTTGATAGGTGAATGTTTACATTGGAATTGGAGAGAACTAAATGCAATTACAACCAAGAACTATTAGCTTGCCATGATTTAATTTTGGATAAAAATATAAAAATGATTTCCATATAAGAAGGAAGGTTATCTGTTTCAGTCTAATAACAAATAAGAGTGCAAAAATATTTTTTTAATTAAGCCTATTTTTCATGGTATTATGAGATTAAAATGAAATTTGAAGTAACAATTTTATTAGTCCAGACATGTGGTTGCTGTTATTGTTTTGATTGTAGTGTTTTTTTCTTCATGTTTTGATCTTATATATAGTATTATATATTGTGTGTATAGTATTTAATAACACCTCTGTATACATTGTAAATAGTCAAACGCTTGTTATTTCCTGAGTGAAATTAAACTTTGTGCAAGTTGTCTGTGAAACACGCTAAATATGATTCATGTGTTTTCTTTCTTGGATTTGTGCCATACCCCCCCCCCCCCCCCCCCCCATCCCTGAGAAGTCTGGATCTGCTACCATATAGCAACATGTTGAAGATGGTGAGGGTAGGTGAGCTAAGGAGGAGGGGAGGGGACAGATTAAGCAGGAAACAGAGAGAGAGAGAGAGAGGGAGATAAAATGGGGCATACATAGCAAAATGTAGATGAAGGAATAAGAGCAGAGGAAGGAGAGAGACAGACAATAAGGAATAGGTAGTGCAATTTACAAGACAACAGAAATGAGCATAGATACATCTCAAGAGAGAGAATGAGTGAGTAAGATGGGAATACAAGGCAAACATTTAAAAGATGATGAGAGTGTAACAAGAGGAAGAGAAGGTGGGTGGGAGTCGGTGGGCATAATATTTGTCTCTAACCTTGACTTCACCTTTTTAAGGAAAGAGATGGAAATTGGTTAGAATGACTCAACAGTTCATGTAGACTGCTCGTCATGTGATCAGAGATGATGTCAATTATGACTCTTCTCTCAGCTCAATTGTATGATGTTAAACAACACTAAACATTCACCTGGGATTCAAGTACATGCTGGGTTGAACCTGGGCCCGGTTTCATAAAAACTTGTTAACAATAACAAGTGCTAAACTTCTATGACAAATTTGCTCTCGGCCAATCAAATGCCATGATTTCAGTAGCTTAATAATAATACAAATTAAAAAAAAATAATAAAAACGGTGCTTATATAGCGCTTACCACCGAAGTCTCTAAGCGCTATAACAAACAAAATACAATGATAAACAGTTACATATCAAACAAAACACCAAGAAAATGGAAATAAACCTACAAATTACATACATATGAAATATACATAAATGTGAACAGAGTAAGTTAATCATCAAAAGCAATTTTGAATAAATGTGTCTTGAGACAAGTTTCGAATTGGTTAACAGTCGGACAGTAGTTTATAACGGTTATTGTTACTTGTTACTGATAACAAAATGTTATAAAAACAGGACCCAGGTACGATTCTAGAAGATATTTTTGGGGGTGGGAGTGGGGGGACTTGTGGTTCATGCATTCATTTTCCACATGTGAGTCGCTTCAATTAAATTACAATATTTGCACCTTTTTTACATTCATATTTATTCCATTCTCTTTTCGTACGATTTCACTCTCAAATGGCGCATCGCCATAGACCGTGCTAGTTTAACGCAGGCCTACGTCAATAAAAATGATGCCTCGTGTGCCATATGAACATAACAACCTTATCTTCGTACAATTGATATGGCATCTTGGCTCCGATGGAAATCTTACTTAACGAACGATTCAACATTCATATTATGGATGTTTTTAATTATTTTTGTTTTGCTTCTTTAAAGTAATGTACTATTTTTCTGTTAAAAAGTGGAGAGATTTCAAAAGCATAGAAATCACAATTGCAAGCGCCAGGACGGATGCAACCACTTCGTTGTCATGGTAACAGTGCTGATGGTGATGTTGAAAGTGTTAATAAAAGCCATGGTGTGATATAAGGAGCTATAATCTATCTCGAGGAGGTACGATGAGTGATTAGATTAATGATTGACGCTGTTTGTCACGTGATAGTTAATGTGATGACGGTACCCAATGTGGTTGCATGAATAATTTTCAGTCAAATCTTTCTTTTGAGTTATCTTCTGGGGAGGGGGAAGCCCACAGCAAACGTCGATTTCACACAAGACTCGTCGGTGGTGATTTCTTTTGTTGAATCCACTGTTACTAAAGTGACGCAAATGAGACGTAATTACATTATGAATGATTGAAAAGGGACGTTTTACAAATACAGACACAAATACGGTACTATACCATTAATGTTACATATAGAAATGTCAAGCCAGTCGTAGTAAGAAGAAAGAAAGCACACTTTTGTTCAATTCAGTTTATTTCAATTTATTCCATTATCATATGAAAAAGAAATGTTTAAATTGTACGAATAAATACAAATACACGACGAAAAAGAAAACTACGAAAAAAGCGATATGTTTGAAAGCACTTGACCGTATAAAAACATTATCAAGGTGACGAATTGTTTGTCACAAACCCATCAGTAAATAAAGTCTTCAGTTTTGGTCAGAAGTGACTCATAAACACTCATGAGCATTTCTTGAAGTCAATAAATTGACGAGATTCGTTTTGTTTTTTGCGGGATTGAAATTTGGTAGAAACTTTGACTTCTACATCCACCTTCCCGTTGATAAGTAATGAAATTGATAAGCTAGCAAATTATTCAGATGGCAAATAATTTTCCGTAGGGTGGGTTTGATATTGTTTCATGTGTCCCTCCCCTTCGTTACTCACTGTATTCAATTTCCATCTCGATGCATCTACTCTCATTACTCAATCACTCTCTCCCGTCCTTCTACTCTTCCGCCTCCTCTTCATTTTCCTCTACCTCTTTCTCCTCCTCCTCCTCCTCCCTCCTCCTCCTCCTCCTCTCTCCTTCTCCTCTCTCTCTCTCTCCTCCTCCTCCTTCTCCTCCTCATCCTCCTCTCTCTCCTCCTCCTCTCTCTCTCTCCTCCTCCTCTCTCTCTCCTCCTCTCTCTCCTCCTCCTCTCCTCCTCCTCCTTCTCCTCCTCCTCCTTCTCCTCTTCCTCCTCTCTCTCCTCCTCCTTCTCCTCTTCCTCCTCTCTCTCCTCCTTCTCCTCTTCCTTTTCCTCTACCTCCTTCTCCTCCTCCTCCTCTCTCTCCTCCTCCTTCTCCTCTTCCTCCTCTCTCTCCTCCTTCTCCTCTTCCTTTTCCTCTACCTCTTTCTCCTCCTCCTCCTCCTCCTCCTCCTTCTTCTCCTCTCTCCTTCTCCTCTCTCTCTCCTCCTCCTCCCTCTCTCCTCCTCCTCCTCCTCCTTTCTCCTCCTCCTCCTCTTCCTCCTCTCTCTCCTCCCCCTTCTCTCTCCCCTCCTTCTCCTCCTCCTCTTCCTCCTCCTCTCCTCCTCTCCTCCTCCTCCTCCTCCTTCTCCTCCTCCTCCTCCTTCTCCTCCTTCTCCTCCTTCTCCTCTTCCTCCTCTCTCTCCTCCTCCTCCTTCTCCTCTTCCTCCTCTCTCTCCTCCTTCTCCTCTTCCTTTTCCTCTACCTCCTCTCTCTCCTCCTTCTCCTCTTCCTATTCCTCTACCTCTTTCTCCTCCTCCTCCTTCTCCTCCTCTCTCCTTCTCCTCTCTCTCTCCTCCTCCTCCTCCCTCTCTCCTCCTCCTCCTCCTCCTTCTCCTCTTCCTCCTCTCTCTCCTCCTCCTCCTCTCTCCCCTCCTTCTCCTCCTCCTCCTCCTCTTCCTCCTCTCCCTCCTCCTCCTCCTCCTCCTCCTCCTCCTCGTCCTCCTCCCCGCTTCCATGATGTCACCATATGGGGTCATGATCACCATGGTGACCCCTCACCAAGAAACCTCCCTCCATGACGAATTGATAAATCTATCAATCTCAGGATGAGACAGCCGTGTATGTGGGTAACCATTCATTCGTCGTCGTTTCGTCGTCGTTTCCTGGTCGTTGATGTCAAACCGCGGGCCATGCTGCGAAAGTTCATGGAATCACCTCATCATTGCTTCGACTGTTTGATTGCTGGTGAGTCATCGATCGCGGTGTGATGCTACCTAGAAGCATAGTGCACGGGACAATGGAATCATTTAGTATGCGATCAGGCTTACGAATGCTTCGTCGGCGTGTGGGCGCGAAATGTAGAGCAGAGATTATTGACAACTAGCTGGTTGATCAATTAAGAATATTTTGCTTAACCAGTCAACGGAGGGGTTCCATTTTGTCCATGTAAAATGTGTATATTATGATCCAAGTTCAGATGGTAGTAGTAGTAATATTTATTTCCGTATAAAAACATAATAACAATGCATGAGGTAGGCCTACGGTGGATTGCCCACATCCAGCTTATCCGACATGGGAAAGCTGGCCTTCCGTGGATTAGATTACTAGTAGTCAGCACCCGAAGACGTATCAATGGCATATAACTGATAAACGGTGGGTTGGGGGGGGGGGGGGCTGTTGCAGGACCGACTCTACATGCCTAGATAATTATATGGAGAGAGATTAACATATTGCCCTCTCCCCCTTTTTTATCATATTTTCTTAGAGAAGTAATTTTTTGCCTCTTTTAGTTTACCAACCCTAGTCCTGCATGCTCACAGTATATCACTCGTTAACCTCGCCCTTTAAAAGGTTGTTTGTGCATCATTACATTTTTTGGTAACAGGTGAAAATCCCTGCGTGTACCCAAATTTCACCCAGGGGAAAGAATTATGACTCGATGACTAACGGTATTATGAACGGATGGTGCGACGTCATGTGACTCATTATTATATAAACTACCAATGGGTCACCCCCCCCCCCTTCTTATTATCTTTATCTCTCCTTCTCCCCCTTCTCTATCTATCTCGCGCACACACACTCTCTCTCCCTCCCCCTCATTCCCCTATCCTCGTTCTCCCTACCATCTTCCCTCATCTCTCCTCTTCTCTCTCCTCTTCTCTCTCCTCTTCCCCTCTCTATTGTGTCTTTTTTTGCGCCATACTAGCAGCATAAGCTGTACTCTATCTTGTACATGACCCAACAAAAACTTCTCTTGCCCCATGTACATAGTAATAACAATAATTATTAATCTAAATTGTACTTCATTTTTGTATTTACTAAATCAATATACATGCAGCCCCTTTCTTAGGCCAACTCATCTATATACAGCTATACTTATTGGGTGCTTTAATATTTATGCATATAACAGGTTATAAAATAATTTATCGAAGAAGACTGCACACTTATTGTTAACATTTTACAATCGTAAAACAGAGACGGTTTTACGACTGTGTAATAATGAGCTTCATTTCGAGACTGACATTTTAACAAATGAAAACAAGAGCAAAGCCAACAAACAATGGGAAATTGGGAAGAAACCCTGAGGACATTAGCATCTTATCTAGGGCAAGTTCACCTCAATCTTATTACCCTCATGCCAGTATACGCCAC